CCACGACCCCCTCACGGAGACACGATGATCCTCCCCATACTGGTCAGATATTATGTGTTAAAGGAATATGCTTCCTTACTTAGGCTTTTCTAAGCATTTGCCTACAGGTGAAATGTTAACCTACATCTATTGAGGATAAAATCTTTCACCTACAAATTGACAATAACACATTTGCTGTAATCAGACATATCTAGTTGCCTCAACAATTGCAACCCCAGTTGCAATTGGGGTTGCAATTTCAAATTCTGTGGCATTACTAAAAATAGTAAAGTTTCTGGTGCACTCTAAGATTAAGAGAGAAAACGGAGGACTCAGGCATCCTGATGTGAGAGAAAACGGACTCATATGACGGGGGACCAAATAAAAAAAGCATAGCTACATGTTTTGTGGACTACAGTATTAAGCGTACCCTTTTCATCACTTTGTAATAAACCTAGCCATGCCTATGTGTGTTTATGATATTTACCATAACATTATATATATATTTAGTGGGTCTAAATGGTCCCAAAATGGGAAACTTGGGGTTGGGTCTTGGGTGCCTGGAATCAATTAGAATAAATCCCATAGGTTCTGTACTTTCGTTATCGGCGGGGTCCCAATTAGGCGCGATAACCAAGGGATGACTGTATATACTTGTGACACTGGCCAGTTGCTTCTGGTGTTATGGTACAGGGGTACCAAGTGACAGCACTAGGATCCCGCTTCCTCTATCAAGGAATAAACAATTAAAATTTAAATTGAAAAAAAAACATTCAAATAAATTACTATCTTACAAGAATCCCTCCAATGTAAGTTATATTCACCCAGGTCGTTTGGGTGGAAAATTATGAGAAGAGCTTAGTCACTCTTAAGTAATGATAAATAAACACACAGGCAGGCCTTCAGCGCCAACTGTCAAATCTTATCTCAAATAAATAAACAAACAAATTCCAGACATTCTGTCACCTCACCTCCTGCCCCCCTCCCCCCTACCCCTCGTGTTCAAGATAAAAGATTGGTGATTTCTTTGTTTATTTTATATAATATGTCAGACTAAAGTTACGATAATATAAATTGCATTGCTGAAATTTTTGCAAGACAGAGATTAATTTGAATATAAATGTCATATATTTTGCTCAAGATATAAAAAATGTAGTACATTAGTGTACAATACTGTAGTACATTTTATAAAAAGTTTTTCAACTGTATTTTTGGGTAGATTTACATAAATTTCTTCATTTATTTTCACCCATTTACATTCACACACCATACTAACATAAACGTAAAATAAATTAGTGCAAAGCTGGACTGCACATGTACTAATTTGATTACGGTACTAAAATTGTTATGTCTAGTGCGAATTACAACATGTTTATATTCAAATAAATCAGTATCTTACAAGGATCCCAGCTATGTTAATTATATTCTCCCAGGTCATTTCACTGGCATTTTAAAATGAGAGAAGCTTAGTAGGACTGTTAAATAAACACACAGAGACCTTCCCCTCAAACTTATCACCTCAACCCCTCGCTGGGTGGCGTGGCTGGTTCCATCAGTCCCTCCCTCCCTCCCAGCCAGGCTTTTAGGCTTACAGTTTTTATCTTATATAATATCTCAGACTAAAGTTAGGAGATTATAATTTGCATTGCTGGAATCCTTGCAAGACAGCCAATAATTTGAATATAAATGTCATATATTTTATTCAAGAGATAAAAATTGTTGTACATTAGTGTACAGTACTGTAGTACATTTTATAAAAGTTTTTCAACTGTATTTTTGGGTACATTTACATAGATTTCTTAGTGCAAAGCTGGAGTGCACATGTACTAATTTGATTACGGTACTAAAATTGTTTTGTCTAGTGCAAATTATAGCACGTTTATATTCAAATTAATCAGTATGTTACAAGAATCCCAGCTATGTTAATTATATTCACCCAGGTCATTTCACTGGCTTTTTATAAGAGAGAAGCATAGTCACCTAAGAACTGATAAATAAAAACGTGTTAGACCTGGGCCTGTGCCAACTGTCAAACGTACTACCTCCCCTCCCCCCACGCCCCCTCTCTCTCCCCATCTGCTGGCGTTGCTGGAATCCTTGTAAAACAGTGAATAATTTTAATATAAACGTCATGTATTTTGCACAAGAGATAAAAATTAATCACCTGTATCACATTACAGTAGTGATTTAAGAGTAAAAGTGTATATGTACGTATATAGTATTCCACATTCACGTTAGTATAAATAAAAAGTTTATGTGATGATCGTGCAACGTCCATTTCGGTTAACGTCAAGTTTCCAAGAACGTATCTAGGACGTTAACCGGTGCATGACTGTATTGTGTTTGAGCTTGACTCAAGCATAATATACTCCGTAATTGGTGTTACTTATTTTGTTTCATAATTCATGTGGTCGCTGCTTTACGTGGGTGAAATATTTGTACGCTTCCTTTATTAATTATTCCCTTATTTATTGGTGCCATTGTTCATACTCATTCTTTACTTATATAATCCTACCATTTTAGTGCTAAATTGGTATGACTCACAATTCTTCTCATTCTTCCAAGTTGGGCAGTGCTTGTCAAAGGAGGCGTGTTCTTGCTTACAGTAAGTACACTTCAGCTAGCTAGCTTGAGTGTGCATGTTTACCTGTGTGCATGTTTGTGTATGACTGTATGTGTGCTTTATGTGTGAGTGCATGGGCGTGTTATGTATGTGAATGTGTGTGTGTGTGTGTGTTTGCCATTCTAACTCTTGTCCTATTTATCTTTCCTCCTTTATCATTCTTTAGTCTTTATCACTTGTCTGTTTGTCTGTTCTGGGAGAAAAATGAAGGAGGCCACGAGGATGTTGAAAGTTCCTCAAGGTGGGAATGGAGTGAAAAAGGTTGAGAACCTCTGCTTTAGATGCTCAGGGTCTGGCCTGTTACTCACGAAATCTGAACTGTCCATATCAAATTTATGGTTCTGGGATTGTCCCAGTTGCAATTGGGGTTGCAATTTCAAATTCTGTGTCACTACTAAGAAATAACAAAGTCCCTGGTGCACTCTAAGATTAAGAGAAAACGGACGACTCAGGCGTCCTGAAGTGAGAGAAAACTGACTCCTATGACGGGGCACTCAAATAAAGAGACAAGGCTACATGTTTTGTGGACTAGCCACTGTACAGTATCCTTTTCATCACTTTGTAATAAACCTCGTTATGCGTATGTGTTTCTGATAATTATCATAACATTATATATTTATATATTTAGCGGTTGTACAAACACAAGGCCTCACACATGCCATTCAGACTAACAGACTTGACAAGTTTTACCAACCATAAAGACAGATGAAGCTTTAAACATCACTCACAATGGATCTTGAATATTCCAACTGTAATCAGACATACCTAAGTTGCCTCAACAATTGCAACCCCAGTTGCAATATCAAATTCTGTGTCACTACTAAGATATAACAGTCTCTGGTGCACTCTAAGATTAAGAGAAAACGGACGACTCAGGAGTGCTGAAGTGAGAGAAAACGGACTTCTATGACGGGGCACTCATATAAACATACACATAGCTGTATAATGCAATATTAACCCCTAAATCGGTTAATTCGGACAATCGGCTAAAACGGACACCCTTCCCCCCCTATTAGTCCGTTTTAACGAGGGTCGACTGTACTGTAATATTTTTATCATCATTATTATTATTATTATTATATTTTTGCCCCAAAGCCCTGATGTGGGTCATTGACCTGTGCCCTGGTGGGCTAATCCCATAAAATAAGTGAGAGTAGAACACAATCTTTTTTTACGCTTAATAAAAATAATTATACAGTACTACATCACTTTCTACCTTTGTAATTTCATATGACTACAATACAGTATGAACCTTATTCCACTATAAAGAGTAAATAATCAGGAAAACGTAGTTATACAAGAAAAGTTGTAAAAAAATTAATATCTTAATAGGAAGAAGCATCAGGAGGCACCACACTATCGCCACGTGGTGCAATCTCCTTGGACTTTCACAACACTATTATGAATACAGTAATACCCCGCTTTACGCTGGGTTTTTTACGCGTTACCCCGCCAGAACCGGAATGTTCACTTTACGCGGTGCATCTACTCATATACGCTGGAAGCGGCGGGGGCAGGGTGCGCACAAGGTTGCCCAGTCATCAAAACATTACCGAGTTCTTCACCCGCCACCCACCACAGCCGGCCCAGGTCATTGATAGTGAGGATATGGACTTATATGGACTTTGAGGGGTTTAACAAAGAGGCCCTGCAAGCCTCTGTGGTGGATAGTGATACAATTGATACAAGTGATACAGGTGAGGGCCAATAATCTGCCCTCTGCCTCGGAACCAACCCCCCATCCCCGTGTACCCAGCCATCTTTTCTACTAATGTAAGTGCTAAAAAACCTAATATTATTGATATTTCTCTTAATTATTAATTGTGTGTGCATCCCATCATAAAATTAAGAAGTTATTTTTACTACAACGTAGGTATTGTGTCTGAAAAAGTGGAGTTTGGGGGTCGGCCCAGCCTCAATTTCAATTAATCCCAAATGTTCTGTTGTTCACTTTACGCGTTTCCCACTTTACGCGGGCCTCCTTGGGTTCAATTGACCGCGTAAAGCGCGTTATTACTGTAAATGAAATCACTGTGATGCATGAGAAATCAGCACAAACCACAAGAAAATGTGTGGGTAATATGGGTAAACACTATATTCTGGGTCTTTTAAGCATAAAAGGAAGACTGGTATGGTGACCTTAGAGTGCAGTCTACATAGTTGCCAGATCACACTGACGTTGCCAAATGTGCATCTTGCATGTCCAGAATTCATAAGTAAACCTAAAATTTTGTTATTTCAATGTTTTACTTCATATGCAAATTTGCATTTGAAAACCCTAAAGCAATAATTTAGATCATACACAAGTTTGCTTATGAAAATCCCAAGACTGTTAATACCAATTGTACACCATAATTAATGTACGACATTGCACCATAGAATATAAATGCTTTCTTACCTCATGAAACTGACGAAAATGCACCAACAATAAGTTTTGAGTAATATAAATTACATGATTTCTTTCAGCTTCAATTAACAGGCGCCAATCAACATCCATCATATTGTCTTCCTTGTGAGTGCACGTAGGTACGGCAGTCATAGCAAACCTAAAAAAAAATTCTCATATATTTCTTTAGGTTTGGTTAGTAGGTTAAGTTATGTTATGCTTTGTTATATTTTGTTAGGTTAGCAGTATCTGGTTCTTCATAAATGTCAGCAGTTACCAAGAGGGATCCTCAATAATTTATCATTTATAAAATGAACCAAACTACACTACCTAATCAAACCTAACCTATCAGACTTAACCTAACCTAATACAGGTGCTTCTCTACTTACAAACGAGTTACGTTCCTGAAGCTTGTTTGTAAGTCCAACTTTACTCTTGTAGATACCAAATATATTGTAAAAAAATAAAAAGATTATGGATATTTAGTACAGCCTTAAAACCTGGCTGGCTCATCCAATTAAACACCTGTTCTGGCAGGTAACCCCCCTCAGTGATGATGTTTGTATCTCTGAAAGTTTGTAAGTTGAACGTTCTTAAGTAGAGGAGCACCTGTAAATATATTTTCCTATTCTCAAAAAAAGGACCATTGCCAAGATATATGACACATATAGCAGACATGGCCGTTTGATTTTGGAGTCTACAAGTCCACAGACTAAAGATGTAAATTACATAAAATTGAATTAAGCAAAATTTCAAGAGGTAAGAATGGGTTTATGTTCTAGTTCTTGCACGCAATTGGCTTCAACTATTATTGTACCACATATTTCTAATTTAGTAGTTCTTTCCCATGAATCTGACATCTACAGCATTACCAAAAATTGGTGGTTTATTTGTACAGTCGCACTCAAAAGTAATCATCCACCCCTCTTACTCTATGTCCAACCCGCCAAGACAATAGATAAGAGAGCTAGTACACACCCTTGTTTAACCCCCGTTTGGATGAGGGCAGAACTCAAACTGGGTGCCATTGTGCAAGACACTGCCATTCATGCCATCATGGAGTTGCCTCACAATAGCGATGAATTTTGGTGGGCAGCCAAAACAGCTGAGGGTCCATAAGAGGGCTTCCCTGTTGACTGAGTCGAAGGACTTGGTTTGGTCAACGAAAGCCATGTGCAGGTCACGATGCTGTTCTCTGCACTTTTCCTGTATCTGGCGGGCAGCAAAGATCATGTCAGTGGTGCCACGCGATGGTCTAAGGCCACATTGAGAATCTGAGACCTCAAGAAGAAGTCTGTTTAGGAGGACTAGGGCAATAATCTTGCCAGATACGGACAGCAGCAAGATCCCGCGGTAGTTGTCACAGACTGACCGGTCTCCCTTGTTCTTATAAATATTGACAATGGAGGCATCTTTAAGAGCTGGGTGGATTTCCTCCTTTTCCCATATATTCTCCAGGAGAGAGTCGAGACGGCTGGTAAGCAGAGGTCCTCCTGCTTTATACACCTCGGCTGGGATTCCATCAGGTCCTGAGGCCTTGTTATCTTTCATCTGTTTGATGGTAGTAGCTACCTCATCCATGGATGGAGGATAGCTGAGGTGGGTTAGCTCTGGATGCTGAGGCACCTGCTGGGTAGTCAGGACATCCACATCGGTGTTTTGGTTGAACAGTGAATGGTAGTGCTCTATCCAGCGCTGAAGGAGGCCTTCATCGTCTTTAATTATGGAGTTACCATCAGATGAGCTGTGCCACGAGTGATTGGCCCATAAAATGTTTTAGTGGAATTGAAAAATTCGCCCATCTTGTGCTGATCTGCTAACTTTTGTGTTTCACAAGCTTTATTTTTAAACCAGTCATTCTTTAGATAGCGAAGTTTCTGCTGGGCAGCCGCTTTTTTTCTTGCGGAAGGTGCCAGCTTTGGTCCGAGACCAAGGGTTGTTCTGCTGGTCAGTTAAAGCAGCATGTTTATCATCGATGAGTACATTGATTGCCAGGTCATTTTCATCAAACCAGTCCTGGTGTATTCTTTCGATATGGCCGAGGGTCTCTCTGCAGGTTTTTGTCATGACAGTGTCAAGAATATCCCATTCGGCATTGTTTGATGTTGGGTTGTTTATCATCCCATGTTCGAGCTGCTCTCTGAAAGCATGTACCACCACTGGATCCTCCAGACGCTTAGTGTTAAAACAACTTCTGGAAGCTTGCTGCCTTTGCCGAGCTGATGATCAATGTCGCAGTGGTCTGAACCACGCATGGCATGGGTGATGAGGACTTCATGGCGATCTCTTTCTCTGACAATGATGTAGTCAATGAGATGCCAGTGTCTGGATCGTGGGTGTTGCCATGAACCCTTGAACTTGTCAGCCTGCCTAAACAAGGTATTGGTGATAGTGAGGTTGTGTGCAGCACACTTGCTGAGAAGGAGTAGGCTATTGGGATTACACTTGCTTAGTCCATTTCTCCCTATGGTTCCCTGCCAATATCAGCATCTCTGCCAACTCTGGCATTGAAGCCACCAAGGAGCACAACCTTATCTTCTCTGGGGATAGAGGTTAGCACTCTGTCGAGGTCGGCGTACAAGGCCTCCTTGATGTCATCCTCTGCCTCGAGTGTTGGGGCGTATGCACTGATGAAAAAGGCATGCCGTGAGTGATTCAGTGGGACTTGGAGCGTCATGAGGCGCTCATTGATCCCAATAGGCATTTCAGTTAACCTGTGTAGGATGCATTAGCAGATGGCAAAGCCAACTCTATAAATGCAGTTTCTCTCCGCAGCAAGCTTACCCTTCCAGAAGAAGGTATAGCCAGACCCCCGTCCTGTGAGTTGACCCTCATCTGGTAGCCGGGACTAATGGCTGCTATGTTGATGTTATACCAAGCCAGATCTTTTGCCACAAGGGATGTTCTTCTTTCAGGAAACTCATTTGTGCCAGTATCCAGAAGGGTCCTGACATTCCATGCAGCAACAATAACAGGTTGTACAGTATGTTTTTGTTTGGAACTGTGATTTTGATTGTGCTTTCGGCCACATAAAGTTGACCTTACTGGGTGCGATTACCCCCCCCCCCCACACACACACACACGCACACACGGGAATTAAGACAACACGCACCCAGTGAGGGTCTTGTTGTGTGACTGCATGGAGGTGAGATAAACATCAGCTGTTGAGGAGCACTTGGCAACATGGTGCATATTACCACTCCTTTCCATTCCATCTCTCTAATCACCCACACCTTTCTGCTTTCTTACTCCATATTTTAAAATACTATGTAACGTACAGTCAACCCTCGCTTTACGCGGTCCCACATTCCGCATTTCCACGTTTACGCGGTACCCTGCCGAAACCAGGATGCTCACATTCCGCGGTGCGTGTACCCCTTTACGCGGAGAGTGTCTGGCTCGACGCTATTTTTAGATTCGGCCCTCCCGCCTGCTCCCGCCTCAGCCTGGGCAAGCCGCGCGGTAAGGTTACGCAGTGCATGTCTCTGTTGCGTTATCAGTGACGTCATATGACGTATCGGACTGTGATTGGCCATGCATCCCTACCTCCCTCCGCTGCTAGCTGTAATTGGTTTAAAGTAATATGACGTGTCCACCCGGGGGAGGGAGGGAGGGAGGGAGGGAGGAAAGACGACGCTTGACCTAGCCGCGGCAGTTTCATCCCTCCAGGCCACACCGTGTAATCGTGCATCCATTGTTCTGTAAAATGGCTTCCACCGGACCACCGCCCCGAGAGAGAAACCTTTCCTTGCCTGGACCCAGCCGCCCTAAGCCAAAGAAGACACGACGTTCCTTAAGCTACGAGGTGAAGTACAAGATCATCCAAGAGTTGGAGAAAGGAACAAGACAGGTTGATTTGGCGCGCCAGCATGGTGTGAACGAATCTACGATCCGGACGATAAAGAAGGATGCAGCCAAGATAAAGGAGCACATGAACATCACAAAGTCTACAGGTGCTTCTATGATTAAGTATTTCCACAACCAGGTGCTTCTCAAGACGGAAAAATTACTTGTGAGCTACTTGGTGCGTCAGGCGCGACGGAACATAGCGGTGGACACGCGCTCTGTTAAGGAGTACGCACGTGAACTGTATGCTGCAGTGTCACGAATGATGGGAATTACAGAGCCCAAACCCTTAAATGCTTCCTCTGGGTGGTTACAGAGGTTTAAGATGAGGATCAAGATCACCAATATCAACATTGGTGGTGAAGAAGCTAGTGCTGACCGTGTTGCGGCTAGGGAATTTCCTCCGTTTTTACGTGAGATTATGGAGGAAGGACAGTACACCGACGACCAGGTGTTTAACATGGACGAATCTGGTCTTTTTTGGAAAAAGCTACCTTCCAAGACCTTCGTTGTGAAGAATGCCAGCAAGATTCGGGGCCGTAAGTTGCAGAAGGAGTGCATCACCGTCCTGTTTACCACCAATGCCTCCGGTACCTGTAAACTCAAGTTATCGGTGATCCACACAGCACGCAAGCCGCACGCCTACAAGAGCATGGACATGACCAAGCTAAATGTCCACTGGCTGACCGCACGTAAGGCATGGATGTTCTCTACACTGTCCCTCTCCTGGTTTGATGACTGTTTCGTTCCCGATGTAAAGAAATTCTGTGAGCAACAGAATGTGCCATTCAAGATTTTGTTGCTGCTGGACAACGCACCAGGACACTCGCCCCTACTGTTAGATCGTCACCCCCAACGTAAAAGTGGTCTTCCTTCCTCCCAACACTACATCTATATTACAGCCCATGGACCAAGAGTTAATCTGTAATGTAAAAGCTGCATTCTCTACTAAAAAATTCAAGCTCCTGAACGACTACACCAACACCAGGGAGCAAGAGCGAAGACGACGAGGATCAACAGTTGGCAGAGCAACAAGTACTTTTCAAACAATTCTGGAGAATATTCAACATCAAGAAAGCTGTGGACTTCTTGGTGGAGGCATGGGACCAGCTGTCTGTAGCAACTGTTCGTCACGCACGGAGACATGTGTTGCAAGGCATTCCGGCCGTTAGGCAGAGTCAATCTGTGACTGGTGAGGTTCAGACTGTTGCAGTAGCAGTGGACCTTGCCAGAGAAGCTGCGCAGTGTGTTACAGCTGCAGGCTTCTCCGAGACCACCAACGACGACATCCTGGAGGTGATAAGGGATCCTGAT